CGGCTCTAATGGCCATTTTTGATGGCAGGAAACCCGATAGCTCGCTGGAAGAGCTATACAAAGGCGGGGAGAATGTATGCCGCCAGGAGCGGGCTGCTTTGTTGGCTAAGAAGCTTCAGGATCGGTGCAGAGAGTTTGTCAGTGGGAAACTGCGCACGAATCTTGTTACCAGAGCTGGAGGTAGCACTGATGTTTATACATTGCGGGCAGTGATCGAGGCATGGCTGGCCTGGCACTCGAAGCTAGTATGTGACAACGAAACATCTCGAATGGAGTTCACAGCTAACTTTTCCTCTTTCTCCAGGTTACCGTTCGCTGGATCTTTTATTATCTTGACCAGTCATTCCTTCTGCATTCCAAAGAGCAACCAGTGATCCGTGAAATGGGATTAATTCAATTCCGATCATACATCTTCTCCGACGCCAGCCTGAAGCCAAAGATTTTGAAAGGAGCTTATGATTTGATCGAGGCTGATCGATGCGGATTTACAAAGGCACTAGCAGATTCATCTCTGCTTAGAGAGGCCATAGAGCTTTTCCATAGCCTCGATGTATATGGGAGTGACTTTGAGCCTTTGCTCATGGCCAAGTCCAAGGAGTTTGTGACGGAGTGGTCTCAACAACAAGCAGCAGGATCTCTAGCTGCATATGTCGAGAATGCTCACCAGTTGATCGAACGTGAAGTAGAACGGTGCGGGCGCTTCTCTTTTAATCGAAGCACGAAGCTCAAACTGTCCGAGCTCCTGGATGAGACTTTAGTTACACAGCAAACGGACGTGTTGACCAGCGAAACCGAGGTGCTCTGTTTGATGCGGGCCGGCAATAAGACGGCCTTGAAACAACTATACGGGTTGCTTGACCGGCGCGATCTTAATCTCAAATTGAAAACTGCGTTTAAGAAGTACATCATCGAGGAGGGCGAGGGCATCGTGTTTGATCAGGAAAGGGAGGTCGACATGGTCATTCACCTACTCCAATTTAAGCAAAAAGTTGATGATCTGTGGGCCAATGCTTTCGAGTCGAACGAGGAATTGGGCCACACGGTCCGCGAAGCCTTTGGTGCCTTTATGAACCATGGAAAGAAGATGGACTCTACAGGTGGCACCGACAACCCCAAATCGGGTGAAATGATCGCCAAATACGTGGATAGACTGCTTAAGGGCGGTTACAAGCTCCCACCCGGCCGTAATCCCGAAGAAATGAGCCTGATGTCCGACGATGCAGAGCTTGACCGACAACTTGATCAAGTTCTCGACCTTTTCCGGTTCGTACATGGAAAGGCTGTCTTTGAAGCCTTCTACAAGAATGACCTTGCCCGGCGTCTCTTGATGAAACGAAGCGCCAGCAACGATGCGGAAAAGAGCATGTTAGCTCGTTTGAAGAACGGTTCGTCGCATCGAAGATCCTACTCTTATGCGCTTTGACTAATGTTTGACCAGAATGCGGGTCCAATTTCACTCATAACCTCGAGTCCATGTTTAACGACATGGACACTGCTAACGACGAAATGACGGCCTTCAAGCGGTCGCAGCAGGAGGAGCGGAAGGGTCGGTTCGAATTCGAAGTCAACGTGCTCTCTGCCGCCTCCTGGCCGACATATCCCGATGTGCCCGTACGGATCCCATCGCAGATTGCCCGTTCGATCAACAAATTCGAGACCTTCTACCACAACAAACACACAGGGCGCAAGCTCACCTGGAAACATCAACTAGCGCATTGTCAGCTAACTGCAAACTTTCCCCTTGGCAAGAAGAACCTGGTAGTCAGCTCGTTTCAGGCGATTGTGTTGCTGCTATTTAACGATATCCCCGATGGCGAGAGCATGCAGTACCCTCAAATCCAAGAGGCGACCGGATTGTGTAGGTGGACTCATCTACCA